GTCCTTTATCTTTAGGAAGCTATAGTAAGTATATTGCTTTTACCTATAATTTTTTTTTCCATAGATGCAATAATGACAGACTTTTACTGAGGATTACTATAAAAGCAGCACCACCTAGTGGTACCAAAACCAGTGTAGTATTTTCAGTGGTTTCCTTGAAGCAGCTTTGGAAACCATAGGGAAAACTCTCTCATGAAATCCTTTTTAAAATACCCACATGACATCCACGTTTTGGGGTTTTTTTTGTGTATGTGTTTTTTTAATTCAGTATGCATGTAAATAAATAATATTTGCAAGTTCTGGGTATACACTTACTTATTTTCTGTGTTAATACCCTTTGAAAGGGAAAAAGGTATGTGAATGTGTGTATTAACCACAAAGGATAAAATATTTTTCTTTTATTGCGTATAGATATATATAAACATATTTTTAAAATGATGAGGTATTAAAATAGCTACTACTCAAACCTTGCTGTCTAACTTTATTATTTACTACTGTTGGTGTCAAATTTAGATGGAAACCTATATAGGAATAAGACATATCCAGCAACTTTGGACCTCTTCTGTAATATTTTCCAGTGAACCGTAGTTTATCTTGCTTCAGTATATACAGTCCATGACACAGACAATCACACCTTGCAAAAAACAGACAGGTCCAATATGTAAGACCAGTTTGATTTGTCTTCCATAGTGATTGTACTGGCATATGTATTTACATCTGTCCTAACCAGCTGTAGAGCGCTGTGACTATAACTTGGTAATATTTTAAATCATCTTAACATCTACTTTTCACATGATGCTGTAAATCCTGTATTGACCGTTTAGGAGGTGAAAAACCCTCAAAGCATCTGCCTCCATGGGAACCTGCCAGTGCAAACCAACACTGTTCACACCAAGAATCGGTGTCTTTTTTTATATCCCTTCAGAATCTTTCTCTGGGCACACACAAGGGAAGTTTGGTGTTACCAAAGATGTAAATATTTAGTAATTATATGATAGCATTTTTTAAAGTTATTATGTGACAACATAACATAGGAAGGAAGAATCTCAATGATCAAAAGCATTAGTGGCCTTCTTTTTTCTTTTTTTTTGGTATGTGGTGCAAATAGCACACACATCAGGCGCTCAAACTGCTCTTGCCTCATCCCATTTCTCTCGTCCTCCCCCATCCTACATGCAGTCCACAGCTCACCTCTCCAGTTCCTTAACTTTGGTCTCATGTACGCTTCCGTTACTTTATTTGGTATAGCCTCAAAGCCTCCACTCTGTGTGGCACTCCCACTGCCCTTCTCCAGCCCTGTGTATGACAGCACAACTCCTGTTTCTAGCTCCAGACAGCCCCTCTACTTCTCTAGTGTTCCCAGCTGCCAGGCATGCTACTCTCCATCTTCACAGCCACATCAATGCTGGGGTTATTTAAGGAGCTCAGAAGTTTCATGGCATACAATTTAGCTGGAGTTGTGACTACTTCACCATTGATCTCATAGATTCCTTCCACACCTACATACCTACAACAGAGTAAGAAAAAACAGAGAATAGCCTGACTGAATATAGTTACTCTACTTAAACAATCACTTTATAGAATGCTTTTCACCATGCTCCATAATTTCATGGCTGGTTGAGGATTTTTTTTTTGTCTTCACCATTTCTCACAGTAAATTTTTTCTGAACTCTTATTGTCCTGCTGGCTTGAAACTTTCTACACCAGTTAATTCATTGCTGGCTGGTGATACTTGTTTTGGGCAAGCATTGCCCTCTACCTTAATAAGTAAACATCTTAAATTGAAGGTATTTGAAGAGAACATTTATCTCCTCTCTCAATATTAACTTTTCTAAACTAACTATGTGAATATTTTTGAGGATATATTTAGTCTCTTCCAGACATCCATGTTCCCGCTACCTGCTATCTAATCTAACTGGAAGGAATGCAATCAAGTCAGCACTTTTGTGTCCAAAGAAACAAGTTTTCCTAAGCCCGTGGTTACATAGCTTCCAGATGTGCCAGGGCTTGGTCTGCAAGCTTGTGGTCTGCTTAAACCACAGGGAGGCAGAGCAAAAAGCACTGTAGTATAAGCCTTCCTGCACTTGCAGGAACTTTATTAACCTGATAGTCTTAGTAGTTGCCCTACCTGTTCAAATAAAACTCCATCTTTCTTGAACACATAACCACACTGTACATAGCACTTCAGATGCAGTCTCACCCATTCTTCACCAATCTCTTTCAGAGATACTTCATTGCATACATTCTAGGCTGTATTTTTCATTATGCCAATACACTTGCAATTTCTAATCATCTGTGATTACCTAGGTCCTTCTCTACACATTTCATTTTCAACTGGTGATCTCCTCAAATAAATTCTTTTTACTCCCAACATACATGTCTTTTGCTATTAAATTCCAACCCATCTCTATTGGGTTGTTGGTTTCTTTTTATCCTTTATGCCCTTACTCTTTGTATCATTAATACTTTTCTGTGTATAAGCAATTATCATTAATCAAAACATTACATTAGAATCAGTACTAAGGTATTTCTTGGGTAACTTTACCAGTAACTTTCCTCCAGAATGACAGTACTCTTCACATATTATCTCTCCTTCAACCAGGTCATTACATACCTTAAATTCTTGTATGAATCCCCATCTTTTCTAGCTGAACTAGTAATTTCCTATGTAGCAGTGAATCTTCCAGTTCTATCCAACAAGTTAAAAACTTTAAGATACTAAAGAAAAATGCAATTATAAACAGCAATTAAAATAAGAACTAGGACTTGTAAATTCTGTATAAATATTTTATTATGTATAAAAGACAACTTACATGGATAGACGCTCTATTAAAACAAATCACAGACTTTCTGTTTTCATGAAAAGATTCAAATGCTTCAAAGAGCATTTCAAAATGCCTCTTCCTTCTTCGACAGTGATGTATTTTAGGGATTGATACCAAGTAGCAAATGTACTGCAACATAGCAATAGATAGTGTTTCTAATGATGCTATTGACAACTCAAAAGGAAGGCACCATAGAGAATCCAAATTTTGATTCAAGGTTCAGGCTCTTTCATCCCCAAGTCAATAAAAAAAGGCAGAGTTACGGAGTCAAATACTCAATCCGCAGACCAAAGAGACCTTTGGAAAATATATCCTTTAGGTTGTCAGCTGGCTCTGGCAAATACAAATCTTTTCATTCTATTTAAGATGGGGACAATCGGAAATAAGAATGGGAAAGAAAAATAAAGGGAATAATCTGAAGCCCTGGAAAACAGCACCAGAAGGCAAGCTCATTCAAGGAGAGTGAATCCTCCACAGACTACCTGTTTATCTTGCATACGCTCAATACAGGATTAACATTTTAAAGTCATCATGTAAACATTTAATCTCGCAGATCAGATCAATTTTGTTTAGTATTATTTTACATATGAGAGCCATACAAAGGAGGTTTTTTTTGTTTTTCTTTTGTCAAGACCTTGAAAAGGCACTACAAAAAGGAACCAAAATACAACAATGTGACTGTAGTAGATACTATGTGGAATTTCATGTACACAATTAAAACGACAATGTGTTATTTAATTTGTAACCTGTCTTTGACTTCTTAAAGCTAGATGAGCAAAGAAAAATGCTGTCATTTTAAAAATTGAGTTGCACAACTTTTTCTAACTCTGCATATGGCTGAAAAGTTTCCAATTATCAGTATGTAAACTACCACACAGACAACAGTCAGAGCCTGACATGTAAACAGTTAACCATATATAACTAAATAGCTAATTTCATATTAGAATATGCAGGTTTGAACATTGTTCAAGGCATAACATGGACCCAAGGTACAAGGTTTCTCTCAAAAATGAGAATGTAAGGTTAGTGCAGTGATACCAAAGTTACCCAAAGACTAAAGTATCATGCAAGTGAGACTTTTCTGTTAGTTGTCATAGGACAAATAAAATAATAATTAAAAAAAAAACAAAACACTTTTGGGTGTCTACTCTTAGTATTAGACACTAGATAGTAAAAAAATCTCCAAATACTCCAGTAGTCACATTTCCATCCTACAGAAGGCAACTGTGCACCTGCCTATGGGTTCAGCATGTTACGATGGGAAGTTTCCAGTTCTTACTGTCGAAGAACTGTGAAGATAGTTAACAGTAGTATTTTAATTAACGTTAAAAATGTAACAACTACTTCATTTTTATTATTTACATTTGGTTTTGGCATAATACTAGCTAGAACAGTGAAAGTGGCCTGTGCTATTTCACTCAGCTTATGCTTTGGTGATGAGGACAATGTCTGGGTTCATAACTCTACAATGTGACATCTAAACTTCTATTTTTAAGATTTTTAATTTTTTAAAAAAATTATATAGAAACATTTTATGGGGATTACATTTGGATAAATTTTTAATGGTTCTGTATTTTGAGTCTAAACAAAGTGACATAAATTGTATTTTGTCTATCTTTACTTTTCCTATTACTATATTATTTTTTAATACATGCAGAGTAAATCTTTTTACAGACAACAGAAAAATGATCTCATAATTTCATTGTTAGGTGGAAACTTTTCAAAAACACTGGAGGACAAGAAACAGGAAAACACAAACTCATAAATGCAACTAATTTTCACATACTATATAGCAATCCTCTGGCTCTCAAACAGACTCACAGAGTAGTTGACTTCTATGACAAAGCAGTGTAACAAAACCACTGAATGGTACCGACATGTCTGAATTTGATTATTTTTTTTTTCAATGGATGTGTTGCTATTACTACAAATCTTACCAGGTAAAAGGAGATTCCCAGTGCAAGAAGGATTTTTTTCAGGATATATTTTCATATGTGTAATTATCTATTATAGGAGAGGTACTTTCTCTTATGTACTGCTAGAAGTAAGGCAGAACATAATACTTCATCAGTTTGCCAAATACATACAAACCAGAGAACAAGCACGATTAAACATCCATAAGATGCAAGTCTGTTCCCATGAAAATCACATACATATTTCCAAAACATTTGAGTCTCACTTTCTGTCAGAAAATCTCACATTGATGGAGTTTCCAGGAGTCAAAAGTCCATGGGTTTTGGCACGAACTGGTTCGGTTTTGGGAGAAATTTTGATCTCAAAATTCTGAAGCAACTGTGAAGATAAAGAGGACAAGTATCAGAAAAGCTGCAAAATTACATATGAAGATTAGGCTTTCGAAAAGAGGAAGTAACAGACTGTCACAAACAAAATTTCTGTTGACAGTTCTGTGGAGTGCAAGTGTTACAATTCCAACACAGGAAAGAAAAAATAATTGTTACAAGGTGAAGATTATAGCTAAAAATCTTCCTCTTTGATTGAGGGAGGACTGAGCCAGTCCTTCTGAAGAATTTCCACACAACTTGATGAAACAGTCTGAGCTATCAGAGAAACTAAGGTCTCTTTCAAACTTTGTTTCCTTCTCTATGTGTTTTTGATATCACTTCCTTAAATACAAATCAATATGTGCAATTATAAAGCAAAGCAATAAGAGTCCCAAATCATCGCACACATTTCTCTTCCTGGGCAGAAGCAAACAAAACAAACGTAAGACAACAGCTGTCCAGTGCACCAAGTGAAACTGTCATAATTCAAAGAGTCAAACATTAGAACCTCTCCTGAACAGAATCACTATAATTCAATCACACAGGTTCTCTATACATTATACCTTTATTTCCATACACTTAATGAAACTGAGAGAATTGGTTGCAAACATAAATCACAGAAATCGTGGGCTAAAACAAACTTCAAGACATTTATGTTACATGTTTTGAAGCTGAATATAGAATACCTCAGCTATCTATTTTTAAAATTCAGAAGGAAATACCGCAGCACCTCAACTTCTCCTAATATTAAATCTCAAAACACTTTTCCTATAAACTAAGCAATCTTCTCTTATCCTGCTCCTAGTAAGCATGATGAACATTGCACTATTTTCCCACACATAACTACGTTTTCAGTTTTAATGATTGATCAAATTTTCATCTCATTCTTCTCTTTCAAACCTCTCATTCTTGTTATTCTCTCTGTCTACCGAATTTCCTCCAATTTGACTATATTGTCCTTAAAACGCAGTGCACAGGTTGGTTGCTTATCACTGTCTAGCTGAGAATTCACCAGTGTTTGGTAAGACTGAGTAATTTAGCTCCTCTTTCTGATATACAATATGCTTGTTAATACTGTCAATATACCCAAGAATTACACTGCCTTGTCAGAATTAGCATCTTAATTGTTGACCAATTTTTTACTGTATCTTTCAAGTCTCTTTCTACGGTAGTAATTACCCAGCCAGCTGGTTAGCAATTTCTATTTATGCATTTGATTTCTTCTCAAGAGCAGTAACTTGCAACTGTCCTTAGTGAACAATTATGTGTTGATTCTGGAACATTTCTCCATTTTTTCATAATTCTATATTCACATCCTCTGATTTTAACTTAATTCATGTCAGCTTGGTATCCTATGCAAACTCTGAAACAGTAAAATCCATCATTTACACTGTCAATAAAAATACCGACCTAAATCAAATGCATAAAATTCTCATACAGAATTTTAACTAAATGCTTTCCCAGTTCAAGAGCAAATATTTGACAGCTACTGCCTCCAGCTATTTCTTTTTTCCAGCCAGTTGTGCATGCATTTTATAGGTACTACCATCTGGAACAAATTTTATTAATTTAGTTGTGAGAACAACATATAGGACGTGAAAATACTTCCTGAAGTCAGAATACGTGATTTATTTTGTATCCACCACATTAGGTAAGTGCTCGAGTCAAAGAAAGAAATCAGACTGGTCTGAAACAGTTTCTCTTTGATCAGCTCCATACTTTTGTGTGTTTCTATTTTTAAATCATTAAAATATCATTGCGATGCTTGCAAATAGGTTGTGTGCTATTTTGCTCTAGTTTCTTTCCAGAAAACAAAAGCAGGGTCTCTTATTTTCTTGATCCTCCATTTCAAAAAGATGCAAGTATGTTTGTTTTATCCAGCCCCGGAGAGCTATCTCACTCTGAGTTCCAGATGCTAATTGTTCAGACATTGCTCTAGGAGTTTACTTAAGGAAATTCTAAAACAAATTCAATCAAGCCTTGCTTTGAATATACATAACGGATCTAAATATTTTTATAGTTAAGTAACAATAAATAGTTCCCAAATCTTTGCATTTTGATTGCACAATCTGAGCTCAGTGTTTGAGTTAAAGGGTGTCTTGTAAGTGACAAAAAACACAGCAGCTGTTGGGAAAGCTTTCTTTATGATGTGAAGCAATGGAAAACAATATACATCAATATGTACTAACTACTTGTATAACTAAATTATGTATATCTAAAATGATAATAAAGTTAGAAGAAAGAACAAGAGTGGACAGAAAACCAGAGAACATAAAAAAATTCTACTATTTATCCTAACACTGTGATCAGTACAAGGATATAAAAACTTTTTTACGTCTTTCTAAGTACGGAATTCTTTGTAACTAAAATGCTGAAACTGAGCAGGTAGCCATTCTAATATACATTAAGAAAGACTTCCAATTTGTTTACAAAAACCTTTGGTACTAAATCCATATATTTCCTTAACAATCTTACCTTTAGTTTTACTTCATTTGTACTATAAAGATTTTTTCTTCTGCAATGTAGTTTAACTAGTATGCTACATTACAGGGATGATTATTTTCAATTTTTTAAGCCTTTGAATGATAAGTATGCTAGACGACACTCCAAAACAAAGTTTTTGTGCACTGTAAGATATCCAGAAACAGTATACGTAGAAAAGAATCATACCAATATATTTTTCTTCTTGTAATGTTGTCACATATTTCTAACCTGAATTAGTGCAAGATGAATTTCCAGCTCTGCAATTCTTTTTCCTATACAACTTCGAATGCCATAACCAAAAGGGATGGAACCAAAATTGTCTACTCTGTCCAAATTGCCTTTCCTCAGCCAGCGCTCAGGTCGGAACTCATTTGCCATTGAGAAATTTTCTTCGCTGTATGAAGTTGTATAATGACAAAGTGCCAGCTGTGTCTGAGGAAATAAATTATATTTATATTTAGCTAACTCCAATACTCATAAGAAAATAAAAACACATTTGTAATTACTCTAATTACTGCAATATGAGGTGATTAAAAATAAGTATCTTTGAGTAATTATGGAAGAAAAAAGGATACCTAGAAAATCAGATCCCTTTCTCAAGTGGTCAAATGAAATAATCTTCAAATTGTGTTAAATGTTGCTGGATATATTAGAGAAGATGCAGTGGGGAAGGAGATTGCAACAAAAGTCACAAGTACTGGAAATTGTCTCAAAAAGATAGTATGAGAAAAAGGGAGAAGAGAAATACAAGACATTGGAAAAGGAAAAAACAGAGGATGGGAAGAAAAAAAAAACCCACCTGAGGAAAAAAACAAGCAATAATTGATGTGATGACGTTCCCAAATAAATCCGGGGGGCTTGGGGAGGGGCAGGGGAGGTATGTGTGTGGAATAATAGAAAAATATTTAAATAAGTATACTAAGAATTAAGAAACTGTTTTAAAGCTCCATTGCTCTGACTGTTTTAAAGCTCCATTGCTCTAACACAGAAGTGCTGTCATTTAATATAGAGCCATGCAGTTCTACCATGATCTCCGTGTAATCTTCGAACAGTATAAAGTTTCGTAATTTAAAAAAGAAATGACATTATTTCTACAAAGGGAATTAATAGGCAAAGAATTAGAAAACAGCAAGAATAATTAACATTTTTTTAATCAAATTGGAACACTGCACAGAGATGCTCTCAATAGACTCCACCCTCAAGAATATTAAGAACAAGTCATGATGGTAAATTTGATTAGCAGGTGAGGACCCAAATCTAAAAAAAACAACAGCAACAATTCAATTATAAAATCAATTTTTGTCATATAAATGGGTATTGTTGAAATACTTTCCTCTTAATGCTCTAGCTTGGTGAAATCTTTTTAAATCAATGAAGTGTGTATCTGTTGTAACAAATCACATTTCATACAAAAAAATTAAAACTGTGTTCTCTGCAGAGGACCGCAACAGAACCTACCCCTTTAGGTATCAAGTATCCTCCAACAATCAAGTCCTTTTGGGTCACTCTTCCATTTCCTGGCAATACTGGATACAACCTAGAGACAAATTTTTGTGGGAAGTTCAACAGTAATAACTAATACAACTTTAAAAGTTCAGATTCCAATTTGCATTCACAAATATGCAACATGAATGCAATATGCATTCACAGCAAAAAGGATTTTCAAAAGTAAAGAACACCTTGGAGATTCAAAGACATCAAATCATCTGTGACAATAGGATTAATACCTGAGAAAATTTATTCACAAGTAACTGGTGGTTGAGCTATTTGGTCTATATATTTATTTGCTTTACACATGTAAACTGTTTGGTCAAGCTGGAGATGTTTTAGCACTACTGGGAGCTGAAAAAAACTTGATGCCTTTTCTAAAATCCTCTTACTCCCCTCACCTCACTATGAACATTTGGTATAAACATATAAAAAAAACATGTCACATGCCTTCAATTGAAGTCAAGAAGCTTAAAATGATTGTAGTGGCACTGCAAAGTACCACTTTGCAGTAGTGTGTGGGGGAGGAGATTGTTACAGTCCATCATAGAGACTAATACATAAAAGGCAAAAATCTAGTTTTCAATTACCTACCTTAACAGCCATGTCCTACATATGTGAAACTACTTCTACTATACTTAAAAACATTAAACATCATATAAGCTATCATATTTCATTGCCGGGGCATCCTTGAACACAATACTGTTACGATAAATAAAAGCAGAAGTAGCAAATCTATTAGAATTACACTGAATTACATTTTTTAATTGATGATTGCAGTTGTCTGCTACTTACCTCAAGGTTTCTTTCAGCACAGCTCTAATCAAAGGCAATTTTGGGACATCATGAGCAACAGGAACTTGGTATTTCCCCAGCTTATTAACAATTTCCTCATAAACACGTTGTTGAACCTCAGGGTGTTTTGCCAACAAGTACGTTGCCCAGGACAAAGTAAAAGACGTCTAAGGAAGAAACCATCATCAAGTCCAACAAGATTAGATGAAAAATAATTTCAAGCCAAGAAAACCAATCAGTTTTTAACTACATGTTTTATATATTTAAAATTATAAAACAGACTGGCAGTGATTCACATCTGGACTCAATGGGATGTTGTCAGACTTCACCATCCCCTCCTTCATCCCTTTTCCATCTAAAAATCCCCCACATATCAAAACAACCCATGCTGCGATTTTCCCAGTGAAATATTAAAAAAACAACAGAAAAAACAAATGCAAACAAACCTACATAAACAATACTGAAACATAAAGACTTTAAACAGCAATGGATTAAGTTAACTGTTAGTTTTCAATATGTAGCTTACCCTTTCTTCTCAACAAAAACATTTCACAGGAAACAAGATCAGAGAATACTACACAGAACATTACCAACCTCTTTTAAGCAATACGGTGGTCTCCTCACAGCATCCACACAACAGAATTGATATGATCCCTGCTAAGATTATACTTTATCCTTTGGTAAGGAATGCTACACCACCATTGGCACTTTATACCTCTTGAAAATTCCCACTTGACTGAAATTCAGCATCCTGTTGAAAGCTTTCTTAAGGGAGCTCAAAGAGGAGTTTTTATATTTAAAGTGGCCCCAAAATGTTAAAATATACTCCCCCCAATTAAAGATTCTAACAATCATCAAGGCTCCAGAAAAGAGGTATTGTGTGAAAAATCATTTAAAAATATTTTGTCTGAAGGAAGAAACAGAACACAAGGCAGAAGAAAGGTCAACTTGGAGCACAAAATAACTTAAAGGAACCCATCATCTAATCCTATTTCACCTCAGCTGGAAAAATTGCACTTCAATGCACATTTGTGGTTTAGGAGACACTCTGAGAGCATGAACTCACTCTATTTGTACTAACACGGAACTGAATATTTCAACCTTTATTTGTGATCCAATATTTACCATTCATTTAACCATGAGTCCCTGTGTTTAAGCTACCTGGATTTCATGGACTATTCCATTCAAATACTAGACAGACTCAGGACATTTTGCTTCTACTATCAGGTGCACCCAAGACATTAAGGTTAAGCAAATGGCCTTGAGCCTATATCCCTCACAACCATCACTGAAGACACAAAGTTTACCATGAAAAACACATTTTCATTATGGCAGAGAAAGTGACAATGTAGTCATTCTGTTCCTTACCTGTGTTGTTCTTAGTATCTCACAGCATTTAAAAGAGAAAAATTGTAACCTCTACCCTAATTTTCTTGAATTATTTTTAAATGTATTTTTTTGCAACTCGTATAATGAAGACAGACAACCAGTTTCATTTTCTAGGCAGTAAACAGTCTTATTTTCAGCTTCCCAGTTATTGGAACTACAAAGCTTAAGGTTATAAATGATGTATGGGTAAAAAACCCAACTTCTGGAAATGTCTTATTTTGGGCTTGCATTTAAGATCAATTTAGAATGCAAATTCATCATGACACTGACATTTTATGTCTTGTCTTCAAACTGGGGTATAATGCTAGAAGTGTCATTCTCAGAACCTTTCTTTTTTGCTTCTTGTGATATTGAGTGGCTGTCCCTTGCTAAAATGCAACCCTGCCCTATTCCTCTCAGAGCTCAGAGAAGCTGGCAATTGTGCCAGCTGTATACAGAACTTCTCTGATATAAACACTGCTTCTTCCCAGGTTCCCAGCTCCTTCATAACCTCTTAAAAATTAGCACTGTTCCAGGGACAGACAACATGCTTTGTAGTCAAAAACCGCCTTACAATTTTGTTGAAAGGTTTTATAATCCTCTAAACCTCTTTCATTTTCTATGATAAAATGAGATCTGAAGTGGCAGCAGTAGGGGTAAAAAGGTTCCCTCAATTTCTGTCTTGTACTCGAAAATGAGGAAATCAGAAGTACCGTCCTCTCACAAAATGATTGTTGCCAGCTGAGAAAGCTGAGTCAAACGGAAAGAGAAACTGTTGTTGGCATGAACTTGAACACCGTCCTTTTAGTTTAATGAAAACTCTCTCACACACTAAAAATGGAAAATTAAGGGTCTGAAAGATTAGAAAATGAATGGGATGAATAAGTGTGCTTTACCAAAGAACCAAACATCAAAAAGCTTTCCAAACTCATAAGCCCTTGGGATATTTAACCACTGGAATAATCTTCAGCACATAAATAAACTTTACATATGCTCCTTATTTTGCAAAAGTATTACTGTTGGGGGTTTTTTTGGTTTCTTTAGAAACCTTACAAACTTTCTCAAATCAAAAAAATCTGCATTCCGTTATCCACAGAGGGTTGTTGTTTTTTTTTACTTTAAGGCTACTTTACTATTTTACTTATTTTAATCTTTTCTTTTGTAAAACTATTAAACACAGTCTTACATAGCACATTCTTTGTCAAATTCATACAGATTTCTTTTAAAAAATTCCTCATTTACAATCATTTACAGTAACAGTGTTCATTGATATTCTAAATAACTCCATATACATTGTATATACAATACAATAATTCATTTTTATCTTTTCTGATTCTTCTGATTGTCATGCTGCAGTCAATACTAAGCTACACTGATTTCACATGATAGCAATGAAAGGATAGTAGGATATATATATGACCTTAAAGTTTCTTCAAATGCTCTAAATGACAAATCAGAAGAATAAGGAAAGGCAGCCAGTTAAAATGCTGTACTAGGTGTTAACATACCCCACAAGCTAGCCTCATTAATGCTGAGCCCCATCACCATAGCTCTTTGTCTCAGACTGACTTGTATGTGCACTTATGCCTTACCTACGTTACTGTTGGCCTAACACCCCTCTCCTAATGGACTTAAGCACAAACCGGGTATCTGATATCTATAATGTGTGTCTCAGTTGATTTAATTAGCAATATGTAAAAATACTTTACCAAATTCTACATATGTGTTTATTGATCAATTTTTTCACACTAACTTTCAGCGGCCTTTTCTATTGTGGTCTACCTAAAGAAGCACAAATACCAATCTGATATTCAAACTAGGAAAAGAAAATGTGTGAAATTCAAACTGAATGTAAAGACAATTGCTATTTTAAGCATTTAATAACTGTGGAACCGACTCCTAAATGACGTGCTCCTGTAAACCACAGCTAGAACAGAACAGTGCTGAGTTCATTCCAGTAGAGATTACACAGTGCTGTAAGTATTTTTAGAGATGTAATGACTTAAATGTATCAGAAATTATGTCCTTATAAACAACATAACCCCCCCTGAAGATAGCTGCAAATGGTACTGGTTTACAACAATCGTGCACAAGAAAAATGGTAACAAGCTTACTGTGTCCACTCCTGCCAGAAGCATTTCAGTCATATTGGCGTAGATCTCTTCCAAAGTAAGTTCCTTACTCACTAGGAGGTATGTCAGTAGCCCACCATTCACTTCTTCTCCTTGGTCCAGTTGAGACTGAATAGCCTTCAATTTGTTGTCAACATGGATTTGACCTTTGGGTTCAAAAAAATTGTTAAGTCTCCAGTTTTATTTTTCTGCTGGTTCCATTCAGTAATGACATTTCCCCCTTACACTACACTACATAGCCATAAAAAGACAAAATATTTTAATCTATTTTCTCAGGGAAAAGATAATAGGGTGGTGGAGGTCCTTGGGTAAGGAAAGACAGAGCTGAGAGGAACCTTGGTAGCTCACAGCATGAGAATGCTGAGCACAAGGAAAGGACACAAGAAACTATAGTTTCTGACTGGGAGCAAAGGAAGCTCAAGGTCAAGTTTTTGCGCCCACCTGGCTTGTTTTCTGATGACTCTGCAAGAAGTCATGAACTCTGCAGAGCATGCTGCAAGTCAGCATACAGCGGCTGCTACAAGATGTTAGCAGCAACCAGAAGGTCAAAGCCACAGAGCTAAATCACACTGATGAGAAAGATGAGGAGCACCAAGTAATAATAAAAATCAAAAAACTTCAGTGAACGACATTTTCAGCAATTTCACCCATGGCCCCATTTATTCTTTAGTGACTACAAACAGCATCTTCAGTGAAACTAGGGCTTTAAAAGAGGCAATCTTCACAGAAAATTAATGCCTTGCAGAATCAGCTTACAAAAAAAAATAAATCACTAGAATCAACATGTTCCTTTATGAAACCTACACAAACACACACATCACATACAGTGATTCTCACAATTTAATTCCTTTTTCACAAAGGGATTAAACAAAAAAACAACATAACAAGTTTCAAAGAAAACAAATTCCTCAAGAACAGTTTTTCAGCTGCTGCTAGGAAGCTGAAGTCTGCTGTTGTTTTTAACCCACAAAAGGGAACAAGAGTGCTTTAGCATGAGAAATAATTTAAAAGTGGCAGTGTAAAAAAGTATGTGTTTCACAGAAAACATACCTGTATCAGCCTTAAATGGATTCCCCAATGCCTACCGTAGGTACACATCAATACATATTAAATATTAAGCATATTAGGCATATTAAAAGTCAAGAAACTAAAGAATCCACTCATAAGAAGATGTATACAGACCTACCTAGACAAATAGTGCTAATAAAAAAACTAGAAAATGCCTGCAGCTTTCTAACATGAGAGAGGGGAAAAAGGTTCAAGGTTTCTTAAACACTCCAAAATATTAAAAAAAAAATACCGCAAAGACAACTCCTTCTTCTTACTTACATGAAAGCTGATTGATAAAGTAGCCCGGAATGCTTTATTCACAAAAAAAACCCATATTGTAGTACAGCAGTGTACTTCTATGTCTACTTATATGCTGGTATGTGTATATATAAACTTCACAAAGAGTTTAATTAATTGCTCAAATCTCATTTTTTAACTTTCTAAACAGTTTTAGTGGTGATTATTTGTCAGAGTGCCTGACTGAAAACTTGCTGAAGTCAACAAAAACACCCTCATTAAAATTTGAGTGGCTTAGGATACAGCTTTGGCAAAGAACTCCAACCTGGAGTGAGGACTGGGCACTGAAACAGACGAAGAAAAATAAAGACATAGCAGCATAAAATAGGGGAATATTTAAACTGTACTGGTAAAATTCTTTTTCAATAGAGTATTTTTAAAAATGGTTCCCTTGGCCAGTTTGAGTTTAGTATGAAACTTACTTCTACCACAGTGTCTTCTTATAATTTTAGAAGAGAAATGCAGCAAGTCCTGTTCGAACACACACAGAACCTGCAGAAATACAGCTGAACTTTTCTACTACTAAATCTTACTAAATTTGAAGAGTCCATCCCAGGATCTGCAGAACTCTCTCCAGGGTTTTGGAATAAGTGGACGAAGCCATTTGGGAATAGCACCTGCATACATAGTGGTCTTAAACATACTAAACATCAACTCCAGAGCCTCAATATATTCAACAGTCTGCTGTGGGACGTTGTTTTCCAGGCAGCCCAACCGGCATTCATACAGAATAGTTGCCACACCTGCACATACGAAATCAAAGAATTTGCTATACACATGCATATATACATATCAATAATTTAAGGAATTATAATGCTAACATAATGGAACAACCTTACAAAAATGTTTAGTTGTTACTGTAGTTGGGAGCAGACAGAATAGAAACATAAAACACAGTAAAAAATCCCAGCTAACCATTGCAGTGAGACAGTGGCTACTATGTCAATAATGCTCAGCATGAGAAGACAGACAGGAATTCCTCCAGAAGTAGAGCAGCCCTCCAGCATGTTTGCTTTGTTTTGCATTGCACCACAAACCCTGCGCCTGCCGTGTTGGCCTCTGAACACACAGGGACATACAAGTCCAAAGACATTTCTGATAACTGGAAACAATACAGGAGTTTCTGGCTGTGGCTATGCCTTTCCTCATCATAAGCTGGTAGTAAATGAATAATGACTATGCATAAATGGATAAAGACCTTGCACTCCAGGCAGCGATTTCACTGCCCACAATATACTCCATGTGGCCCTGAAAAATAGCAAGTGTGTGACACAGTTGCAAGTGACAATATTGACAAGTCTCTTGCTCCCGACTTGCTATGATTTCCTCAGATGTTTTGTCTGTGGTTTTGCAGTGATCCCTACTAGAAATACCATTTCCTGTCTTCCCCCATATTTCTTAATTTATTCTCCTTCTTCTCAACTCTGGACCATTACTTCTATTTATCAAGTTAATTCTTACTCATCCGTTAGTGTCCCTGCAATCCCTCGGCTCAGTTTTTAAAAACATACCTAAATTATTAAATATTAGACAGAACTCAACCAGAAACTGCCCCACTGGATGGAGTTAGCCAAAATGTTCTCTCAATTTGACAGCTAACCATTTTTAATTAATTTCTGAATACAGATTTCTAGGATTTTTTCCTCCCAACTCGCAAAATCTGGATCATAATACCCAGTTTATTTATGAAAATATCACATGGTATGGTACAAAAAGCATTCCTATTATCAAAATAATCTTATTTAATGATTTTTCTAACATCCAGTGGGGCAATTAGGTAATTTAAAAGGGCATTTAGATAAATTCTCAAAGCCATTTGCATAAAATCAAATATTTTAAAATAAATTTTGTGCTTTTAATTTATTAGTTAACAGTTTGTCCACATCTTTTCGGGAAATATTAGAATAACTGTTAATTAGATAATTAGAGTAACGGGTCTATTAATACTCTAGTCTCTTTTTTCTCTGTTTCTCCTATTAAAAACAGGTACAATAGATAAGATGTTTAACCTTCATCTTGCCCTCCATCAAACTCTCCATAAATTCTTGAATATATATATATATTTTAAGAAACTTTTCTTTTTCCCTAATCTTTGCGTCATATTTCTTCTTTATTGACAAAAGTAACTTTAAAATCTGGCTGTTTTCAACTCACCCTTCCTTAATTTTCCTCCCTGAGGAGATATTTTTATGTGCCTTTTATTTCTCTTGTGCCTCTTTTAGCAGCTACTAGTTCTTATGCATTCTTTTGCTCTTTACACGGTCTTTTAAAAAAGAATCTTACACATTGGTTCCCTGAACAGTTGACAGTGTAAGTTAATTAAAACTGCAATTCATATAGGAAATAAGTGCATGCCAGGCACAAGTTATAAATGACAAGCTAAAAGAATGTGAAGAATTTACAGTAACCCATCAGTTAAAGTGAATCTGTAAGCTCAGAGTTTAAAATTTCATAAAATTGTAACTCTTAGTTGAATGCCATGTTTTAGACATTATTAATGTAGAACAGACTCAGGTTAGTTTATCAAACAGCCAGCCAGCCATTTGATAGAGCATCTCCATAGGTGAGCAATTTGGAAGTGCCTGCAAACCTCAATTTATTCAGCTGTCTGTCAGCAAAGAGTACCAATGTTTTTAAAAGGCACTGCATATAACAAGATCAGGTTGTATGCAATCAGTTGAAGGAATGCATGAAATATGAATCACCATTAGATTTCTGTAAGAACACAGGAAATGCTGTACTAGCTCAGGCTTTAGTGTTCCCTAATTAACAGTAGCCAGTGGCAGATGATTTTAAGCACAACAACCCCACAGTTGGCATGTGTAAGCAGAGGAAAACAACATCTTTTCCCACAATAACCTATGAACAGAATTTAGATATATCACACAGTGATTCCCAACCTGGAATTTGGCCAGTGTGATTTTAAATTAACTTAGAAGTCACACTGTTAGAAGGTCAACACCCTTATTCTTGAGAAATTAATACAGAAATACAGACTACTGAAACTGCTGAGCCTTGATTGTACATTTTACTTATATACCAGCATTTCTACAGGAGTTGCCCCTTAATACAAGGTATCATCTGTTTGGACTCTACAAAGGAATTCTACTGATATCTACTGCACTAAGTGGGAAGACTCATAAATGCAGAAAATCAAGATTCCCTTTTCAGATTAATCACAATGGGGCACTAGCCATGTGACAAAAATGCCTAACCATAAGCACACTGCTTTACATCCATTTTCTTTACAGATGCTATACAGCCTGCGCTTACCTTCCATTGAATACTTGAAGAAAAGGTTGTTAACATTGGTCACTGTTTCCCCATCATCCTCTTGACTTCTGAGGGTGTAGATTCTTTTAATTAAGTCTGTGATAACTTCATTGACTCCTTCAGAGTAAACAGCCACATCTTTGGGTTTCAGAATTTTTTGCCTCAGTACACTTCTCATTTTTAGCCATTGTTCCCCCTCCCTAGAAGAAATTATTAATAATGTCTAAACACAATTCTCCTTACAATCATTCACTAGGTAGGAGCTCCACAATGAAACTATTCATGATTTTTCATCTCAAATGAAAGCAAGCAGTGAAATGAAATGATGATATTGTATATTTGGTATTATGCACCTACATTTTATTCTGTGTCCTGGTTTGAGTGACACAGAACTAGCTTCTCTTCTAATGCTTAGGAAAACCACACTTTTAGAAGAAGACTCTAGTGTCTGAATTTGTGAAAATATTTACTTTGTAGCTAGCTATGGTGTGTGGGTTTCAAGGTCTCAGTCTTTTCGCGTTAGCCGGGTGCGGGGATGAGGAAAAGAAAGACCTGGGCACTTGACCCTCGCTGGCCAAGAGGATTATTTCATACCATGAATGTCACATTCAGTATAAATTAGAAAGTTTGCTGTGAAGTTCTCTCTTCTATGATGGCTGTGATCCAGAGAACTTCTTGCCCCGGTGCTGGACCCCTGAGCCCTTCCCTTCCTCCCAAAGACATTGCGCTTGCAGTGTCCCACGTTTACTATCCACTGCTGGGAGCGCACAGCTTCCTACTGGTAGAATTGGCTGACCTTACAAACCTTATAAACCTTGTATGTTTTATATTGGTATTGGGATCAATATTGGTTTTTTAGCATTATTAATGTTAATTATCTAGTCTTGTTCTATTAAATATGTTTATATTTCAACCCTTGGGTTTCCTTGTTTTTCCCAATTCCCCTTCCCGGGTATGGAGGGGCCATCGGGTGAGAGAATAATTGTCTAAATGACAATAAATTTTTGTGGGTTTCTCAAACCATAACGTTCTATATTTATTGCATGTCCTCATTTAATTTCAGTGTTGCAACATGTACGTACATTTGTAAGTCAATCTCTGATCTGACTGACAGAACGTGTCCACTCAGTGCTCTGAATTTGACAAGCGTGTCTATATTAGTATTTATAGTAGGAGATAACACAAGAAATTTGCAAAATTTCCTTATTAAAATTACTTAAAATAAGTATTTGAATAGATAGTCCGCAACATTGCTTTTACCTAGAACTGGTGCTTACCAAAGGTATCACATCCAGATCGGACAAGTCAACAATTTGAGCTAGTACCATAAATATCATTACCGACATCAATTTCAGTTACCCTAATTCTAAACCTACAAAGTAATGGGATAGCAGACCTAGCTATAGAGAAACAATTTACAGCTAGATTTCTCCTTTAGGTGAGCTATGTATTGAAATGAAGGCAAAAAATGTGAATTGTAGCATCAGCACGCTTCATATCAGTAGAGTATTTGGGAACAGTGGCTCCAGAGGTATCTTCCAGTTCGTTATGAAAACAGGCAAATGTCTTTTACATGTTTATTTTAAATTGTTATGTAAGTATTTCCCATTAAATTCTTTCACCTGGAGCAATACTGCTGCAAGGTACAGAAACTATTGGCGAGCAAAAGATTTTAATCTCTTTAATAGACATTTTCTGACTATCTCTTGATTTAAGATCTCATTTCACAAAATATCAAGGAACTATTAGTTTGACTCTGAACTGCAGCTTAAGACTTGAGTCTACAGTGCAATATGTAATGCCTTTTGCCACCATGAACGAAACAGACTGTCCATGACTCAGGAAATTAGTTTCCCTCTAAATAAACATCCTGTGTCAGTGGGGACTGTGAGTAGTTCCCAGTGGTGATTAACCACACCCACATGCACTGCCAGTTTATGCAAGCTTTAAAGACTGATAACTCTTCTAGAATCAGCCACTTACAAAAATATCTGCATGGGGATGCACTACAGTGTGAATTTACCGTACAGTGACTTCTCTGCACTAATTGACTGAGGTGGCACTTTGGTAAACAATAAGCTTAAGCCAACCTGAGCCAACAAGTCCACACAGCACACTGCCAACTGGACGCAACAGTCTAAGTCTGAAGCAATAAAACCACATTTGTGCAGTGCTGTGCCCAAGTTAGTAAGCCCTGTTCTGCAATACTGCTTCCAGATAAGCAAGTCAGCTCAGACAGCTCTAGTTGATACACATTCCCCAAGAAAGTTTTTATGCAAGGTAGCTTACTCCACATTCAAACTATGCATCATTACCATCCCTTTGAAAATTTACAGCAGAACAGACAATCCACCATACACTCCTACCCTCTTCACCCCACTAGACACACAAAGTTCCCCAGACAGAAAAGCCTGAATTCCCAGGTGATCTGTACAGTTCTTCAGAAAATCACTAAACTTTTACAAGAAAACAAAGAAAAAGGAGGAGTAAAAACACTTACGCAGAAATAAGTCCTGTGGCTCTCCCTCGTAAGTCTCTGTATTCCTGCCAGGATTCCATGTTAGCTCTTTGTGGTGCTCTACCTTCTGCCCGGAGGACTTGAGCAACCATATCTCGATCTGCAATGGATACAACAAACTGGGGACCAAAGTGAGACTTGAAGATCTTTCCATATTCCTGCGTGTGCTTTTGCTATAATGTCACGAACAAAGAAAAACAGAAGTAAAGTATTACTAAGGAAAAATAACACAAAAGGAAACTGACAATTTGTCATTCAGTGAATCCATCTATGACATCTAGAACTTGATCCTCAGCCTTCCAGTCAAGGAATGGTTTGAAATGTCAGTAAAGAGCATCTAAGCGTTACTGTGAAATATTCACAAGGCAAACAGAGAGGTCACACTGTTCAGGACCCCTGACTGAAAAGACCCCAAAGCTCTAATAAGGCACCAAGCATGAGTGAAACCAAATACTGAGAAGATGAAAGGACTTGGGGCACTTAAAAACACATCTCTTCAGATCAAACAGGTTAGAAAGAATGTATCAAAAAATATAAAATGTAGAGGTAAATAGGGTGAAATTAGCAATATAATACAAAGATATAATCATTTACTTTTAATACCTTTTATAAACAGACTTATCCGACCATTTTATTCTTTATAAAAAACTACTTAGAAGTTTCTCACACCTAACCAAGGATGATGATAACATAGCAGCCTAGTGAGAAACTGCATTTTGGGACAGCTTCATCAGCAGTGAACTTTAGAATGACATATATTAATTCTGCAAAAGAAAGGAAAAGTTAAGGTCTTATTCTTGCAGTGAGGTTTATTTAGTGGCAGATCCACAAGTTGCATGATTCAAGCCAGATGCAAGCAACAGGCAATTAAGAAAGAGGATTGGAAAACATTATGTATAAAAAAAAGACCCAAAACTTTTCCAGTAAGATTGCGCTATGACTGTCCCATGAAATCTTACTGATTATTTCAAACAAATTTCATTCTGACATGGTCATGAAATGAAACACGCAACTACCACAAATTCACTTGGACTAGAGGTACATCATCATTTTAGGAGAAAAAAAACCCCAAAACTGCAAAGGAGTTGTTGAAAAGATATTAGTAGGACTTTAGATTTAAGAAAGGTTTAGATTTTAAAGCCTTTATTTGAGGTTAAATTAGCAAGACAAAGTAAACCGACCAAAGTGTAACTTTGACACGTTACCTGCATCTAATCCAAAGACATCTTCTTGCAGAGTTATGCTGATGATAAATCAAAGACATCTGATAGAACTACACTAGCGAAAGTCTAGTGTTGACCCAAGATTAACCAATGAGAAATATTTTTTTAATCAGTCTTGGTTACAGAGATGAATTGTTTAATTGCCAACAGTAAGTTTAAGACACATGAATCACTCTTCAGCATATGGTACCAAGTGCTTATAAAAAAATCTAACTCTTTTTGCCTGTTTTCCAAATAAAACAAGAATTGTGCAATTGCGGTCTCTGCCAGTCTGCTCTTAACTGCTTTTGGAACAGAATGGCCAATTTCAGTCAAGTTTAACAGAGAGTTAAAGGTCTCCTGCAATTATATTCTTACCATTTTCAAAAATCAGCATTTGGATTCAGATGAGATACACATATTAGTCACCGTGATGAGGGAAATGCTACAGGAGGAACTCAACTGTTATCATTTATGCTTGGTCTGCTGCTAACTAAACACCACATGCAGACCAATGTATAAACAAGCACTCCCAAAACCCCAAGCATCTCTTGCTTTGGAGATATTTTAGGGATATTGAAACTGAACTTGGAGAGAATTGAGAGCATGAGTCTTTACAGGAAAGCATGAGTTGGTAGAGAAGCGCTGCAAGGAAAAGGCAGTGGAGCGAGGGGGACACAGGTCACCAGTCACAGAAATACAGGTTCAACAAATTTTGCTATTTATAGAGCAGCTTGTTTTTTCCACTTATGGTGAGGTTTACAGGGAGGATAAACTTCAACAGAAAATAATTCAAGTGTCAAGTCATCCAATCAAATAAATGAAATACTAGTTCCAAACCAGAAACAGACAAGGACAAGGTATTTGGACATCTCTTGCTTTCAACAGAATGATGTTCAGTGTATCAACTTCATGTTTAAAGAAATACCTGGAATTTCTCTTCCATATTTTCTGTCACAACATAGGTTTTCTTTCCCTTGGTCCAGACCTTAAAAATATGACACTTCCGTGTCTCACATACCACTCACACCAGACATTCTTTCACACATCATAAATTAAACTGCCAGCATCCAAACCCTCCCCCCTCACCTTTCTTTTCTTTATACTTGTATAGCACTGATGAGACAAAAGAGATCTAACCCCATCAAATTAAAAATACTTTCCCTTTGTCATAATTGCTGTAGGCATTACTGCTTTGGCCAGGACTAACTGGAATCATGTTACTGAGAACAGAACCTCCTTTGTGAAAATGCGCTTGGCTTCCCCACCCCTTCTGCATATAGCGTACGAATACTTGTGTGCGCCGAAGGACATGGTTTAAGTAGCTGTGCTGGTTACCAAAGGGTTTCAGATTAATTAATTCCTGATGTTCACTGTATTGTTAAATTTAACAGACTGTTATTAATCCAGTTAATGCCTATTTGCATCCAGCATGTATGCAAACATGGCATTCATGATTTGTAAAGTGATTTTTGAGACTCTAAACAGAATAAAAACTAGTATCATATTACAACTCCTCATCCTTCCTCCTGCTTTCCTTTCTATGAATAACTTTTATTGAAGAAGAAAATTTCCGTATCAGCCAGTGGTAGTGAAAAGCATATACTATTTAGGTTGCCTATTATTCCTTTTAATATTTGAATAATTTTCACTGTTTTGACAGTGAAAGAACAGTAAAATCTTGAATTCAATGGTAGTATTATTTTAGCATTATGATACTATGGTAAGTGCCTCTCAAATTCTGCCTCTCAAATACCACCACAGAGGTAGAGAAAAAAAAGAAATATAATGCAACAAAAAGCTTTAGCAATCAAAATTTCATCTGCATGTATCTTGGTTAGCAAGCAATGAAGTTGAGCAATTCATCATTAGCAATCTAGTTCGGCTGCCACCAAACACAGCATAGACTGAGGAGCCTAACACTTCTTTTTAGAAATCTCAACGGTAAATACGACAAAGCCAGGCATGTGATTTTTTTATTACTTTTTTTTAGTGTTTCCTGCCTCTTCCTGGTGTTTTTAAGGCCCTTTGTAAATCCTAACTTTCACATTTTGATCCTCAAACCATTCAAAGTTCTGTCCTGTTCTGTTTGGTTTCCCTTTTCCGTTTTCACTTCCCTCTCTTAAATTTTTTATTTCAGTGATTTTCAGCCAGTGAACCTCTTGGGGTTGGCTGTGAATCTTTTCCTAGTGATCTGGGAAAGGTCACCAAGAAAAGCAAAATAATAAATGCCACATACGAGGTATTCCCAAAGAGATGTGCACTGTCAGTGGAAAGCATTATGGATCCGCCACTGAAAAAGGGTGAAAACCACTGCTTTACTGCCTCAAACACAGGTGCTCACTTTAGAATCACATGGGCTACATGGGGAAGGGGCCCCAGGAGATGCACCGTGACTTTTGAGGAACGAAACCCGCATGTTTGGCCAAGCAACCAAAAAAACCCCATTCATCTTTGCATAGAGACAGCCTTACGGTAAGAGAGCCGCCCATGCCAACATCCGAGAAACGCTGTACTGAGGAAGGATGCTCGTTCACCCAACTCCTGCTGTGCCGGGCAGGGATCACCCCGCTTCACCCGCCTTCGCCGGCTGCCACTGAGGTGAGGGTCAGGCCGCGGCCTGTGGGCCACCGCAGCGATGG